TGGGTATTTTGGATAAAGAATTGGATAAAAATGTGGATCACTTCTTCGATAAATGACAACATGCACAAAAATACGGTTTGCTCAAGCTTGAAAACGGATCGAAGCACTGATGATGGAAGAATGGATTACTAAGGTTCTTGAGATAGGCAAAATGGCGAAAATAATGTGCATTCTAACAGATAAACCAATGGAATATTTTCTGAAAAACTAGAAAGCATTTATGGACATTTTGAGCAATAAGAAACCTAACAAAGTAAGTGGTTACAGCTATAATTAGGATTATTGCATTGGAGTGCTAATGGTATTTCTTTTTTTTTTTATATCAGTTTGTATTGGGGTAGTTGGAGCCTTAGTGTGTTTCAGTAAGTTAGTGTTTAGGGTTGGGGATCACAACCAGACACAGTGAAGACATCTGCCCTTGCGCTATGCTACTCTGCTGCTGAGTACGCATGCCCAGTGTGGAACACATCTCACCACACTAAAACAGTAGATGTGGCTCTTAATGAGACATGCCGTATTATCACAGGGTGCCTGCGCCCTACACCACTGAAGAAATTACACTGCTTAGCCAGTATTGCACCACCTGACATCCGCTGGGAAGTAGCAGCCAATAGTGAAAGGACCAAGGCAGAGACATCTCCAGCTCATCCCCTGTTTGGGTATCAGTCAGCACGTCAACGACTCAAATCAAGAAATAGTTTTCTTAGATCTACAGAGACTCTTGCTGGAACACCTCAGCAAGCGAGAGTCCAAAAGTGGCAGGCTCAAACCCAGCACCTCAATCCGTGGGTAATACCAAATGAGAGACTCCCCCCTGGGCACACAGAAGACTGGGCAACTTGGAAGGTGCTGAACAGACTGCGCTCTGGCACCACGAGATGCAGAGCCAATCTTAAGAAATGGGGCTACAGGGTGGAATCCACGGCATGCGAGTGCGGAGAAGAGCAAACCACTGACCACCTGCTGCAATGCACCCTGAGCCCTGCCACATGCACGATGGAGGACCTTCTTGCGGCAACACCAGAGGCACTCCAAGTGGCCAGATACTGGCCAAAGGACATTTAATCAGCTACCAAGTTTGCAAAATTTGTTTTTTTTATCTGTTTGTTTATTTTGTTCTGTTAGAAATATAATGTTCTAGTTGCGGATGACACGATAAATAAATTAGGTGAAGAGATAGTTAAAAAATGCTGAAATGCAAGCCTAAGAGAGAGGTTTGTCCTTTGGCCTACAGAAGAGCAAAAGAGAAAGAGAGATAGAAGTATTTGGAAAGCACAGGATGCGGTGTGGTTCAAGGATACAAGGCAGGCTGACATCCAAGAAGCAGTCTGAAGTCATAACATGTATGTTTAGCCTGAAGAAGAGAAGGCTGAGAGGAGACATGATAGCCATGTATAAATATGTGAGAGGAAGCCACAGGGAGGAGGGAGCAAGCTTGTTTAGTGCTTCCTTGGAGACTAGGATGCGGAACAATGGCTTCAAACTACAAGAGAGGAGATTCCATTTGAACACGAGGAAGAACTTCCTGACTGTGAGAGCCGTTCAGCAGTGGAACTCTCTGCCCCAGAGTGTGGTGGAGGCTCCTTCTTTGGAAGCTTTTAAACAGAGGCTGGATGGCCATCTGTCAGGGGTGATTTGAATGCAACATTCCTGCTTCTTGGCAGGGGGTTGGACTGGATGGCTCACGAGGTCTCTTTCAACTCTTTGATTCTATGATTCTATGTTTGCTCTAAGTATATAGAAAGTTATCAGTTTTAGAGGTACCGAAGTGACAAGAAGGTGAAAGAACATGTTTTTGAAACATTGTTCTGGAGGTGGATCTGTTTCATGACACAGCAAGAAAAGTGTATAAGAAAGAACTGAAAAATCAAATGGGACACACAGCCTTATTGAAAGACATTTGACTTGTCTGGCTGTTTGTCCTAGTGTGGCCACACTTGAAAATAAAAGGATTTTTGCTTCACTCACGGAGACTGTTTGCCTTCCTTTGTCACCAACCATTGGTAATTAAAATAGTTCCCTACAGAACCATGATACAGGTTGAGTCTTCCCGATTCGAAAATCTAAAATACTGCAAAAACTAAAACTTTCTGCCATCTACCAACTTCTGTTATTTGTGGATGGCGTCCTGAAAATGGATGCGAAGGCAAGTGTGGAGTGGCCCCATTTGTTTGTATCCAGTAGAGAGGGAATGAAAAAAAGACTCAAGTGAGGGTGGGGAAGGCAAAGATTTTCCCTTCCCTTTGCTAAAGGGGCAGAATGTGTGCTGACAGCCTTGGAAACCCCCAATAGTGCAATAGGTTAAAGGTTATATGTAAAATTGGTGGGTATCTGATGGGTATTTTGGATAAAGAATTGGATAAAAATGTGGATCACTTCTTCGATAAATGACAACATGCACAAAAATACGGTTTGCTCAAGCTTGAAAACGGATCGAAGCACTGATGATGGAAGAATGGATTACTAAGGTTCTTGAGATAGGCAAAATGGCGAAAATAATGTGCATTCTAACAGATAAACCAATGGAATATTTTCTGAAAAACTATAAACAATTTATGGACATTTTGAGCAATAAGAAATCTAACCAAGTAAGTGGTTACAGCTATAATTAGGATTATTGCATTGGAGTGCTAATGGTATTTCTTTCTTTTTTTATCAGTTTGGATTGGGGTAGTCGGAGTCTTAGTGTGTTTCAGTAAGTTAGTGTTTAGGGTTGGGGATCACAACCAGACACAGTGAAGACATCTGCCCTTGCGCTATGCTACTCTGCAGCTGAGTACGCATGCCCAGTGTGAAACACATCTCACCACACTAAAACAGATGTGGCTCTTAATGAGACATGCCGTGTTATCACGGGGTGCCGGCGCCCTACACCACTGGAGAAATTACACTGCTTAGCCAGTATTGCACCACCTGACATCCGCCGGGAAGTAGCAGCCAATAGTGAAAGGACCAAGGCAGAGACATCTCCAGCTCATCCCCTGTTTGGGTATCAGCCAGCACGTCAACGACTTAAATCTAGAAATAGTTTTCTAAGATCTACAGAAGACACTTGCTGGAACACCTCAGCAAGCGAGAGTCCAAAAGTGGCAGGCTCAAACCCAGAACCTCAACCATGGCTGATACCAAATGAGAGACTCCCCCCTGGGCACACAGAAGACTGGGCGACTTGGAAGGCGCTGAACAGACTGCGCTCTGGCACCACGAGATGCAGAACCAACCTTAAGAAATGGGGCTACAAAGTGGAATCCACAACATGCGAGTGTAGAGAAGAGCAAACCACTGACCACCTGCTGCAATGCAACCTGAGCCCTGCCACATGCACAATGGAGGACCTTCTTGGGCAACACCAGAGGCACTCCAAGTGGCCAGATACTGGTCAAAGGACATTTAATCAACTACCAAACTCACAATTTTTGTATTTTGTCTGTTTGTTTGTTTGTTTTGTTCTGTTAGAAATGTAATACAATTGACTGGTTGCCCTGACACAACAAATATATAAATAAATAGTGTTTAGGGTCAAGAACAGGGCTCCACAGTCACCTATGTATCCACCGCCAAGACATTGCACTTGGATGGCCATCATACTCGGACAACGAGGTATCGCCTAAGTAAGTAAGTATGTAAGTAAGTAAGTAAGTAAATGTTTTAGTATTATGTTTTTAGTTGTAAATCTTTCTTTTTTTCTGCTTTTTCTTTTTCAAATGTATATTACTTTAATTGTGAACTAGATAGTTCGTGTTAGAAATTAATAAGTACTCTGAAATAAAAAGAAAGAACCCAATTAACACACCAAGTGAATCCTCACAAAAGTTAATGAACAAAGGGTGGCAATGTGAGGGGGGAAAGCGCTCCTGAAGAACAACAGCTACTGTGTTATTCTAATCTTTACTGTGTAAATTAGAAAAGTAGTGTTATCCTCATATAGCAGATGCCTCAGGGGTGCGGGGATTTGGGACAGTATCACCTTGATTCACCGCTCAGTCTTTGGCACCACGCTAAGCTTCTTTCTAACCTTTGGCACTGTTAATTCAAAGCCAAACTGACATATATGTTTTATATTGTTGTTACTATTACATTGCTGTTAATTGTATATTTATTAGGCCTGGGTAACAACGCAAAAATTTGTTTCTAAAATCGATTTGTATTTGGGTTTTTTTTTTGTTTCGATATTTAAAATAATTACAAAATTTTCCCTTAAAAAAGTTCGGTATTTACGAAATTTCGTTAATATTTACAAAACATTTTGTAAAAATGGCGCCCTTTTTTTTTTCAATATTTTTTAAATTTAATTATTAATTTAGTAGAATAGGGAGGAGAAATTATTATTAAGGAGGGAAGGCAGGCACTCACTCTGGCGGGCCCTCAAGCGCTGCCGCCGAGTCAGGCCCGGCTCCTCCGAAGCTAAGGTTTCAGTGCGGAATTGGGAGAAGGGGGTCCCCAAAGGCCATCTAGTCCAGCCCTCTGCTAAGGTTTGAATGCGGAATTGGAGGAAGGGGCTCCCCAAAGGCCATCTAGTCCAGCCCCCTCCTAAGGTTTTAATGCGGAATTGGGAGAAGGGGCTCCCCAAAGGCCATCTAGCCCAGCCCTCCGCTAAGGTTTCAGTGCGGAATTGGGAGAAGGAAGCACACCCACCGCAAAGGTGAGGAAGGAGGGACGGGCCGCCTTCCCGCTGAGGGTCGCTCGCCCTCTCGCTCGCTTGCTCAGCCGGCACCTTCCCCGCCCTCTCCTCCTCCTCCTCCTCCTCCTCCTCCTCTTTCAGGCTCTGACTGGCTAAGGAGAGGAGAGAGAGGAGAGCTCCCAGCAAGCATCTAGCCAAGCCATCTTACGTATTTCCGAAATGGACGGAAATACAAAAATATTTGGCGCATGCCGTTTCGATATTTAAAAACACTTCCGGGTTTAAAAATAAGTTTTGTAATCGTTTTGTAATTGCTAAAATTAACGAATATTTAACGAATTACAAAATTAACGAACGAAACCGCCCAGGCCTAATATTTATGTTTTGATGTGAGCGCCATGGGGTACCACTTTGTAATCCGTCCTGAGTCCCTCTACGGAGGTTGAGAAAGGACGGGATATAAAAGCCCTAAATATACAGAATTTAGGGCTGTATATTTGAAAGTTGTATGCTACAACTTTCATGGGGATTTTTTTTTGAAGTATCACATATTTGATTGGCTCCCAAAGTAAATTGTCCCTTGATTCCTGAAAAGTGAGCATTTCAAGACGAGTCTTTGTAGAGCCATGGGATTTTTCTACAGAGGAGCACTCAAACATTTGAAATGCTATGATTTCAGAAGAAATAAATCATATGCTTTTGTCAAGCATATTATCTAGTTCTTACTTCAGTTGTTAAATACTGGTTATTATAACCAATAAAGTTCAGAAAATTGTAGCATATGCCTGGTGACATAATCTGTCAGTATCACTTTTTGAACCTGCCTGTCAGGGAAGTGGTATTTCTGAGTTGAATGTCAAGATGGCAACCCAGAAAGGTGCCATGTTTGAACCAACACTTCCACCTTCAGGATAGTGTGAGTTCATAACTGGTCACATCAGGGCCGGGTAGGAATTTCCCCCCAAGGGTTTTTCCTTTTGCGGTGGGGTGGGGGTAATTAGCTTAATGTGCTGTAATTTAAATAGGTTTTCATGACATGTTTAAAAAATTCAATTCAATTGGGTAATTGCTGTGGCACCACCTTGTGAGTTTAGGGTAGACTTCTAGAATGGCCTCTCTAGGGCGTCTGGCACGGAGGACTGGGAAGGGAGGTTTCCCTTGGGTCTAGAATAGAGGGGGGATTCTCACCCTTGTAAAATCCTGTGGTTTGGGAGGAAGCAAGCGAATATGTGGGAGGAAGTCATAGGGAGGAGGGAGCAAGCTTGTTTTCTGCTTCCCTGGAGATTAGGACACAGAACAATGGCTTCAAACTACAAGAAAGGAGATTCCATCTGAACATTAGGAAGAACTTCCTGACTGTGAGAGCCGTTCAACAGTGGAACTCTCTGCCTCGGAGTGTGATGGAGACTCCTTCTTTGGAAGCTTTTAAACAGAGGCTGGATGGCCATCTGTCAGGGGTGCTTTGAATGCAACATTCCTGCTTCTTGGCAGGGGGTTAGACTGGATGGCCCATGGAGTCTCTTCCAACTCTATGATTCTATGAAGGAGGTCAACTTTAAGAAAGCTTCCAACTTTGGTGATTTCAGTATGTAAAAGCAAAGTACAAAGAGGGGTGGATAGATGGATAGATGGGCTGCGGCTATAACATAGCTCAAGAGGTTTGCTTTGAACTCTTGGGAGAGACCATCATACACAACTGCCACAGAGTTCAAAGCTTCCATGCAGTTGTGTTTCAACTATTCACAAACATCATCCGGTCCCTACAGAACAGCAAAAATCTCTGTCGGGCAGCCTGCCGTCTCTCCCCAGCTTCATTTCGCACGTTTCCTCATATGAGACAAGGACAGTTAAAATGGATTTTAGCTTATTTAAAGATAGACATGCCCAAAGCAAGCAAACAAGAAGTGAAGCCAAACAGACTTGCCTGCTTCGTGCGAGCAAGATTGATTCATTTTCTTTGGGAAGAAGTCACATTTCCAAATAAATTACGATTTCCACAGCCGAAAGCAGATTCCCTCCCACCATTATTTTGCACTTTTGTGTCATACCTTGGTTGCCAGGTAACCATACTTTTATGATTCATCTGGTTTCTGACTAGCTGCCCTTTTTGAAATTTTGCAAGATGGACAACTACAAATGGCACCTGATCAATAGTGTGGTATCACAGATTTGAGGACCTCAGGCATGCGGCAATGCACAGCTGGAATACTCATATCCTCACAGGGATTCCCTGCTTCCCTTTCCCAGCCTTCACTTCTAGCTAATTAAAGGAACCATATTGCATTTTATTTTATTCTCTTCAATTGACATGGTTTGGAACAGGAAAGGGCTTCTGTCGAGAGAGCAGAAAGGAGAACCAGGCCAGAAGCAGGGCAATGAGGTCATCATTCAAGAGGCTCCTTCTGTCTCCCCCCACCAAGACTTTTTAAATGGTTTAGTATGCCAGCAGCTGAAAATCACTCCACATCAGAAGCATCATTGTCAGAAAGATGGTAATTACTTCCCTTCACCCGGATATATTCAATATACCTCCCATCATCGGAATCTGTAATGCCACATGTACACAGCGATTTCTCAAACAAGCTTTCAATTTCCTCTAGTTTTTTCCCTTTAGTCTCAGGAAGGCAGCCGTAGAGGAAAATGAGTCCCACAAAAGCAAACCCTGCATACAGGAAGAATGCACCTGCAACACAAAATAAGACACAAACACAGTTAACATATGGTTCTTTCCTTTGTCTTCTAAAACAAAATTACAAGGCTGTTGTCAAAGATCTGATAAATATTTGAAGAGTCTATTCGCAATGAAGGTTGTGGATATAACATACACTGGAAGAGCCCCACTAGCAGATTATTATTATTATTATTATTATTATTATTATTATTATTATTATTATTATTTCTTATCAAAAGCATTGCATAAATTAGTACAAAACTGATAAAAATAGACGGCTTTTGATACCATCGACCATGGTATCCTTCTGGGACGGCTCTCTGGGATGGGTCTAGGGGGCATGGCTCTGTGGTGGCTCTGGTCCTTTCTGGAGGGATGTTCCCAGATGGTGAAGCTGGGGGACACCTGCTCGGACCCCTGGCCTTTGACCTGTGGGGTCCCGCAAAGTTTCATTCTCTCCCCCATGCTTTTTAATATCTACATGAAACTGCTGGGAGAGGTCATCCAGAGTTTTGGAGTTCGGTGCCATCTCTATGCAGATGACGCCCAACCCTACTACTCCTTGAAGTATAGGGTTACAAAGTGGAGTCCACAACATACGAGTGTGAAGAAGAGAAAACCACAGGCTACTTACTACAATGCAGTCTGAACCCTGCCACATGCATAATGAAAGTTCCAGATGTTCCAGTGTGCCTTCCCAGAATAAGGAATCCCAAGCAATATGTCCCAAATACACTTTACGAGAAATTTAGGATTGTCTGCATGCCCACCTATCCCTAAAATATCCATCCTATTTCACTTGGACATGCCCAGCATTTTTAAAATTTTAATCATTACATTTGGCCCTGCCATAGGTTTTTAAATGCGTTGTGATATTATTGTTATTGTTTTGCTTTGTTTATGAGTTATTTATTGTTGTGTTGTTGTTGTTGTTGTGTTTTATTGATGTATTTGGGCTTGGCCTCTTGTAAGCCACATCGAGTCCTGCGGGAGATGGTAGCGGGGTATAAATAAAGGTTTATTATTATTATTATTATTGGTCAAAGGAAATTTAGAACAATGCCAAGCTTTTAACTCTGTTTGTGGGTTTTCTATAAATTATCACTATATTCTCAATTTGCTATCTATTACTGGATTATCAGTAATAGATACAGAAGTAAGATGTGCATATTTTAAAAATATCCTTTTACTCTTAAGGACTTGGACTCGCATCATGATAAGCAATGGTATATGATCAATAGTAAAATACCCCATATCAGTAGTGATTGTGCATTTAGGACAATCTCTGTATGTGAAGTAAAAGCAAGTAGTATATAACCTGTTCATTAAAAAAAATAGAATGGGTTAATATTAAAAATGAAGAAAGAAAAATCTGATTCACTTGCATAGGGAGTTTAATTTGACTTCATGAAGGGGAAAAGTTTGGAGGAAATTGGCATTTATCAGTCATGCAGCACTGAGAGAGAAAGAATCAGTTAGGAAAGAAATCCCTGAGGAATGTGTAAGCAATCTGGTCTATCTGGAGTATTAAAAAGATAAATTAAGATCAGTCTGAATACTGGAAATAGCTAAAAAGAAAAACAAGAACTGGAAATGGCTAGCAGAGAATCAGAAATAGCTAAAAGAAATGAGAAATAGAATTGGCTAAATTTAGAAATGGGCTGCAGGAAAACAAGAGAACTGGAAGAGGAAAGGCTAGTGGGAAGACTTCAAAGGATTTGTCCTCTTTGTACAAAGGGAAGGTCCTTATATTTTCCTTATGACATTTGAGAAGGCAGGACTAAAGTGGAGAATATTTGAGGAGGACATATGGAATTTCCCACTAGTTTGGTCAAGGAGGCGTTGGTGTATCCCTAACTTGATCTAATCAAGAAAGAGTTGCTTAATACTAAGACAGAATCCAGCCTGTGGGACTGTGAAGGGGGCTTTCTGGATAAATAAATTATGCCCATTTAAGGTGGAATCAGGTGTCAAATAGGGATGTGTTCTTGCCCCAACCTTATTTTCCATCTTCATTGCTATGATACTTCATCTTGTTGATGGGAAGCTTCCCACCACAGTGGAAATTATCTATCAGACAGATGGCAAGCTATTTATCCTCAGCAGACTGAAAGCCAAAACCAAGGTTACAACAACATCTGTTATAGAACTCCAATATGCTGATGACAACGTCATCTGTGCACATTCAGAAGACACTCTAAACACCTTCGCAGAAGCATATGAGCTCAGTCTTTCACTGAACATCGAGAAAACCAAAGTGCTCTTCCAACAGTCACTAGCCAATCCTTCTCCAGTGCCAGAAATACAGCTTAATGGTGTAACATTAGAAAATGGTGACCATTTCTGGTACCTTGGCAGCCACCTCTCCACGAAAGTCAACATTGACACCGAAATACAACACTGCCTGAGCTCTGCGAGTGCAGCATTTTCCCAAATGAAGCAGAGAGTGTTTGAGGACCGGGACATCCGTAGGGATACCAAGGTGCTTGCTTAAAAAGCTATTGTCCTCCCAACCCTGCTAGAGGTGGACTATCTACAGACGTCACATGCAACTCCTAGAACGATTCCATCAGCATTGCTCCAAAAAATCCTGCAAATGTCTTGGGAAGAGAAGCAGACAAACGTCAACATGCTGGAAGAAGCAAAGACCACCAGCATTAAAGCGATGGTCCTCTGCCATCAACTCTGCTGGACTGGCCGCGTTGTCCTGATGCCCGACCACTGTATTATTTATTTTATTTATTTCCTGCATTTATAATATCCCGAAGGACTGATAACTCCTTTTTTCAGACCCTCTTCTCGCCCTGAAGTGGCTCCCTCACCACTGGGGGACCTCACATATGATAGGTTGATCTAACCTACGGATTGGGGCTTGCAACGTGCTCAGTGAACACCATGTCAAGTTCTCAAAAGCAGGACAACTGGGTATCATTTAAGACAGAAAAAAACTTACCATAGTATGTGAGATATTCCGCTGTATGCAGAAACGTTAGTGATACTAGAACATTGAAAATCCAGTTTACACCAGAAGAACATGCATTTCCTGTACTTCTTGCCCAAAGGGGATATATTTCGGAATTTACTGTCCAAGGCATTGGTCCCATTCCTTTAATAAAATACACAAATAATTATTTTAAATAGAATACTGGCCAATAAAGCTTTGCAAAAATGGGAGAAAAGGATAAAATATATCTAAACAGGAAGACACTATGGGCAACATTACTGTTTAATACAAACCATTGTATGAAGGCTAACAAAAGAACCCATAAATCTACACTTTAGATGTTGGAAGTCATGTTTAGGACTGTAAGAAGGAAACAGACATTCCAGAATTTATATTACTTATCTAATAAGGGTAAGTGCGTCTATTGGAATTCTATCATTTTTAATAGAATAAAATGGCGTGGGACAGTTGCATTTTGGAAGCAAAGATATGGAACATAATTATTTAAATAATGTACAACTAAGTCTTTCCTGACCACTGAGACTGGGCCCAAAAAGCTGATAGCAACAAAATTAAATGCACTGGAATAAGCAAGAAACTGAGAAAAGCACAGATGCAGAATGCTTTCATGGACTTATCTGAGTAAAAATGAAGGAGTAGGGAGTGTGGTACTGAAAGAAGATGGTAATCTAGGAATGATAACAACAGAAGGTAATGGAAAGGAGAAAAAAAATATTGTAACACTATTAGTAAGTAGACACATAAATTAAAAAAATGTATTTAGACAATGTCTGAAAAACAAAGAACTAATGTAATACAAATGCCTGGTTGCTCCTGACACGATAAATAAATAAATAAATAAATAAATAAATAAACAGCAGAAATAATGTAAATGAATTTGTTGATTTGATTGTCAGAATCAAATCAACAGCGGTGAGGGATAGATAATATGTATAAGCAGAAAAATAACACTAGATGCCAAAAGTTAAAGTATGGTAGATCAGGGGTCCCCAAACTATTCCGGCCCGCCAAGGGCACTTATCTGGCCCGCAGAGGAGGAGCGCCCCCCCCACACACAGTGCCCCTCCCTTGGCTGGCTCACGCTATCCGTCAGGCCCAATGGGCAGCGTGAGCCAGCCAAGGGCAGCTGCTCTGCGTGGCCTACTCGCGCATAAAGCACCTCGTGAGGTGCTTTACACGCAAGTAGGCCGCGCGGGGCTGCTCTTCCCTTGGCAGGCTCACGCTATCCGTCAGGCCCGATGGGCAGCGTGAGCCAGCCAAGGGCAGCTGCTCCACGTGGCCTACTCACGTGTAAAGCACCAAGGGAGGCTGCCCCGGCGCTCGTAGGCCACGCGGGCTACTCCTCCCTTGGCAGGCTCACGCTGCCCATCGGGCTTGATGGGCAGCGTAAGCCAGCCAAGGGAGGCTGCCTTGGCGCTCCATGCAGTCATGCTGGCCACATGACCTTGGAGGTGTCTACGGACAACGCCGGCTCTTTGACTTAGAAATGCAGATGAGCACCACACCCCAGAGTCAGAAACAACTGGACTTCATGTCAGAGAAAAACCTTTAACTAGGAAAATTGTGGAAGATCCAGGGTGGGAGAAAGAACTCTTGTCTGTTGGAGGTAGGTATGAATGTTTCAATTGGCCACCTTGATTACCATTTCATAGCCTGACAGTTTTTAGGGAGAATCCTTTGTTGAGAGGTGATTAGCTGGCCCTGATTGTTTCTTATCTGGAGTTCCCCTGTGTTTGAGTGTTGTTCTTTATTTACAGTTATAATTTTAGAGTTTTTTTTAAATATTGGTAGCCAGATTTTGTTCAGACTAGAAATAGGAAGATTTCCCATTCTCTGCTCCTGGAATTACTGCCTAAAGAGGGCTAGAAAGAACCCCCTCTAAAGGCCCTTCCACACAGCAAAATAAGATATGTGCAATGTGCATAGGAATTTTTTTATTGATTTTTTTTAAAAAAACTATAGTCCGGCCCTCCAACGGTCTGAGGGACAGTGAACTGGCCCCCGGTTTAAAAAGTTTGAAGACCCCTGATGGTAGATTGTATTGAATAATATGTATCTGCTGTAAAATAAACAATGTATAACAAATGTATTGAACCATGATAAAATAATAAAAATATATATTTAAAAAGAATTCCCATTTCCCTTATTAATTTTTGGGAGGGAGGGGAGGCAAAATATACAATGACATAACATTAACAATATCATCATCAACATCTTACATTCTCTCTCACAAACTTTATTCATTATTGGGAGCAAGTTATGACTGAGTGAGCTGCCTCAAGTCAGTTCTTTGAAAGCATTAACTGGCTGCCAGTCTGCTTACTCTCCAAAACATCAGAATGAATTAGTTGGCGGAAGGGATAAGATGTTCACACAAATGTTATGCAGCCATTTTCTTTGTAAGAAGGAAGGGACACACACACAACCATGATTCATGGAATTGAGAGAACTTCTGAGGGCATTACCCGGTTGATTTCAAGTATTACCTGGTGCAAAGCAAATCAGGTATAAGATAAGTCCCAGGAGTGCCGTCCATGAGTATGGTGTAGGACAGAAGTTATATGCCCAATATGTGTCTTCCGTTTTGAGTCTGGTCTCATTTGAACACCTGTAAAACAGTCGCCATGCAAAACAAAGGTTTAAAGACAGAATCAAGACATGTGAGCAAAGTACAAGAGTAAAAGAGTTCAAAACAGAAAAGAGACTCACACAATCAGGATCCTTGGCCTGAAACAAAACATACCTTCTGCTTAAAGGCAAATGATGGGCTCATTCTGTATGTACAGAAAAGCTTTGTTGACACTATATCATAATCCTAATTGGCACAAATTACAGGGAGCGATCTACCCAGGGGTGGCTCAACCCATTACGCAAAGTAAGCATTTGCAGGATAGTTGATTTTGCCCAGGGGCACTCTTGAGGCGCTCTTGGGGGAAAATAGACCTTGACATATGCGAGTTGTAGTTACTGGGATGTATAGTTCACCTAGAATCAAAGAGCATTCTTGTACAGAAGTTGATTATAAACTGTATGATTTTAACTGTATTTGTGTTTAGATTGGCTGCACTAATGCTGGAGCGGCCTAACTGAGAGGAGTGCATTGCCATGGAGACGATGTAGGCTAGAGAGAGAAGTGGGAGGAGCTTAGAGGGGAGAGTTTGAAAAACGACAGTTTATGTTCAGTTAGGTTTTAGGTTCCGAGGAGTGAGGAGTTTGGGTTTGGAGCTCGGAGTGAGCAGTTCCAGTTAGGAGGTCGTTTCAGTCAGCCGTCGGAGATAGTAGTTTAGTGGAAGAGCAGTGAGAGGGAATAGCAGTAGGTTTTTCAGCCTAGGAAGGCGGGAGGGAGAAACCTAGATAGTTTCTTTAGTCAGGGAAGGCTAAAGAAAGCTAGTTAAGATCGCTAGTCGAGAGAAGACTAGAGATCAGTAGTTTGATCAAGGACAGATCAAATTAGAAAGCTATTCACCTCAGGAAACATTGCTCAGCAAAGTGCTACATTTCACTAACAGTTGCTATAAGTTGTATCATTTGAAAGAGTGAACTGTATTACAAACTAAGTGTTACTTAAAGTTCCAGAAGTCATTCAACAACTCGTAACCACACGCTTTGTACAAAATAAACTTGTTCTCTTTTGTTGAAGACCGTTTCATCTCAGTGAATCTGCGTCTGTGAAGCCAAATCTTATCATTGATAACCCATATACTTCACGATTGGTGGCAGCTACCCTAGTCTACAATATATTCTTTCCAATAAGTGAGGCCTGAGTTTAATTCCCTCCTTGATTATACGCGCTTCGTTACAATTCTGAACTCCATCAATGATGGAATTGAACCAAATATGGCAAACAGAACTCTCATGACAAGCAGAAAATATATATAAGTAATTGGTTGGGGGGGGGGGGCGCCAAAATACTGTTTGCTTGCGTTGAAAATTACCTAGGGCCACCTCTGGGTCTACCCCCCTGTTTAGGAGCTCCATTGGCTGCCGTTTCTTTTCTGGTCCCAATTAAGGTGCAGGTACTTACCTACAAAGCCCTGAACGGTCTGGGACCCATCTACCTTCGTGACCACATTTCCTTTTATGAACCTACACAATCCCTTTGATCTTCCGGAGAGGCCCTTCTTGCGCTCCCATCTCCATCGCAAGTGCGACTTGTGGGGACGAGGGAGAGGGCCTTCTCTGTGGTGGCCCCTCGGCTCTAGAATTCGCTCCCCAGAGAAATTAGGCAAGCCCCACCCCGGCAGTCTTTAGGAAGAGCTTGAAAACTTGACTGTTCCAGTGTGCCTTCAAGGAATGATGAGCTGAACCCTGACCTGACTAAACCTTGCAAAAAAAATTGCCCTCGGAAGCACTTTATTTTCTACCTACTAGTGCAATTAAACCCTACTTTTGTTCCTCTGATCCCCTGTCCAGATACAATACACCTTCTCACCCAGTGTTTTAAACTTTTTAATCCTTGCTACCGGCCCTGCCCACTGTGATTTATTTTCTGTGTTTAAATTATTGTGATTTTGTGATTTTACATTGCTTGATGTGCTTATTTATATTGTTTCTTGTATTTTATTTTCATATTTTATTGTCATTGTATGTTGTTTGCTGTATTGTTGCGCTTGGCCTCATGTAAGCCGCCCTGAGTCCCCTTGGGGAGATGGTGGCAAGGTATAAATAAAGATTATTATTATTATTATTATTATTATTATTATTATTATTATTCCTCCAAGTAGCATATTTTATTACCCTGTTAGTTTTGTAGTTTAAAAATGGTAATGCCTAATACTGAATCCAAATGGATATCCTTTCATTTTAAAAGCATTGCTTGTTCTCCTGTATCAATAGACAAGATGGAGGAGATGTGACTAGGACTTGGTGCAATGGGTTCAAATTACAGGAAAAGAGATTCCACTTGGAACATTATGAAAAACTTCTTGACTGTAAGAGCTGTTCGAGAGTGGAACTCGTTGCCTTGGAGTGTGGTGGAAGCTCTTTCCTTGGAGGCTTGTAAACAGAGGCTAGATAGCAATCTGTCAGGGTTACTTTGACGGTGCTTTTCCGGCATGCCAGGGGTTTGATCCTATGTCACCCTATGATTCTCTTCTAAAATTCTTGTAAAGCTGAAAAATGCTTTGAACTTCTTTTGTAGCTTGAAGCACATACTTCTAGCCCTTGGAATACGATTCTGCAAACAGGTATCTTTCAGAACTCTGTAAAAAGAAAGCAGACTACCATGCTCTCACACTTCATTGTGTATTTGGAAATAATATTTCTAAAGCAATTAAAAAACCAAGGCGCTGGCAGATGCTAACTGATGCAGGCTTCCCTGTTCATGCACACAAGTGGCTGTTCTTATTTCTCTAGGTAATATCTTTATGTAGACTGATATATTATTGCATGACGAAATGCATTTGAGAACTGGGAATGGGAAATTGGAAATTTAATCAGATTTTTGTGTGTGAGTGTGATCTGAGGACTACACTATTATCAAGTTTGGAAAAGACAGGAAATCTGTTTATAATGCAAATGTATGACCAATAGAACAGTGCTACTCAAACTTTCATATCTTAAATTCTACTAATAATTCTGTTGACATGTCCACTCCTATCCTGTTGGAAACAGAAAATCCCACTTTACGCAAGAAGAATATTTTTATGTTTACAGGTAACTGAACACAGACTGAACACAAACAAAATTAATTCTATTAGTAATGCAAGTTTTTAATGCTGGTGTTGACAGGTGATCAGAGTGTGAAAAACAAGAGCTCAAAATAAAAAAATGAGCAGGAATAGTTTTTAGTATGACTCATACAAAAATTGGTTATATGTTTTCTGAATTTAATTGTTTCATATTATTCTTTTTTAATTTTTATTTATAAATTCGTCAAACAAAATGTATAAGCATACATTCTTCCCTCTTTTTACAATCTCTTAGACAAAAGAGTATGTTGTATTATATATAATCTAACAGTAAAAGAAAAACAAAAACAAAAATATCTTTAAGCATATTTCTTATAATTATTTTTAAATTTCCATTACAGCTTATACTACATTTAACTCTATCACACACCTTTTATCTACTTATAAATGCTTTATTTCTTTGTAATTATTATTATACCATTCCCCCCGCCCACTCTTCACCTTACCCTTATGTTGTTTCCCAATTCCAAAATGTCATTGTTTCTGTTGCTGGCTTATACCCCTTTCCCTCATTAAAAATATACTGAATAAAATTTTCCCATATTTTCCAAAAATCTGTTTGTTTCCATATTCCCCTTTTAATTTTAATATTGCAAGTTAGCTTATCATTAATAGCTATATTCCGAATTTCCCTATACCATTCTTCTAATTTATTTTTTTCTTTCCAGTTTTTTGCTATTAGCAGTTTAACTGCTGTTATCAAATTAGAAACCAATTCTTTCTCCTCTTGTGATAGAACTGTATTGTCATGTATAAGTAATAATGCTAACTTTGGTGTAATCTTAATCTCCATTTTTATTATTGCTCTTATTTCTTTAAATATGCTTCCCCAAAATTTTTGTATAGTTTTGCATGACCACCAAATATGAAGGTACATCCCTATTTCTTGACAGCCTCTCCAACACTGATTTGAGTATTTTTTATCAATCTGACTTAATCTAATGGGAGTTAGATACCACCGCTATATCGTTTTATAGTAATTTTCCTTAATTCTTATATACATATTTTTGAGTAATCTCATACTCCATAAGCTTGCCCATTCTTGATTATTCACTTTTCCCCCTAAATCTACTTCTCATACTTCCTTCAAATAAACTTGTTCTTGTTCGTCCATTAATAATAATTTATAGATATCACTTACTGTACTTATTAAAATTGTTTTTATTGGTTTCATATTATTCTTAATGTGAACCATCCTGAGCTTTCAAAAATGCCCCAGAATATAAGTATTTTAAATGATGACAAAGACACAAAATAATATTTTCATGTACTTTCAGACATGCAGGCAGAATCCAATCTCACTATTCCTCCATCTGCTTGTTTTGTTCAAAGCATGGTGATTAACTATTTAGATCATTTGCATAACACTTTTACACGGTAAACAAGTTTAAAGTCTTTCCTTAATATTATCTAGAAATTAAAATGGCAGTTTTTTGTATTGAATACCACTTTACATATGCCACTGATTGCTGCCGTATGATTCAAAAGTAATTCGCAATGTCTGATTCCTCCTCTGACCCACCTTGTAAAGCCAGATTTTCACATTCACATCAGTCTGAATTACAGACAATAGAATAAAAGTTTAATGGCACATCAGCTCCTTTCAGTGTCGCTCTTAGTATTTCTTTCTCTTGCAGGTGCTCAGTGATGAATGTGAGCTGATTATCCATAGTGATGTGTCTTGAAGCAAACAATGCTGTAATTGGCTTAGGAGATCCTATTCAGCCAGCCCTGCAGCTGCCCACTAAAGAGAAGTCCAACTCTTTCTGATGAACAAGTAAACACGTCCGTTTGTCATACTGCATACATATAAGTTGTCATATTACATACATATAAGTTGATATGAAGCACTTTACTGATTGCAATCCCAATCTCTTGTTTGGCAGTATGCCCGTTACATGCCCATTATGACGATGGG